TTCAGTTTTTCAATCGGCCTTTTAAGTATCGTTTTTTTGCTCTGCCCCAGCTTTCGCTTGAATTGCTCCTTCCTCTTGAGTCTATCCAATCGGTCTAATTCCCCATCTGCTTCCTACCCGGCTGCTCCGCGCTTTGTGCTCCTGTACCCAGTTCTCCGACAGTCATTTATCCACGTCAATGCAACTTCCCTCTCTAAACCCTTTTTTCTTGTCACTCCCCAAGGCAAGGACATCCTCCTGTTTCATCCCTTGGTGAGCACGACGAGAAACTTGCAAGGGGGTCTGACAACCTGCTTGACCCCTCATCTGTCATCTACGAGGGGACAAGCACCCTCCTAATTGGGGAGGGGGGAGCGTCGAGACGTTTTGTGGCTGGTATTAAGGTTGTTATTCTAATGTTGGGGGTCAGAGGTGAAAAGAAGGAGATCACACCGGTGATTAGCCTTCTTAATGTGCAGGGATGGGGGGAGGCTAGGATAGGGGGTGTTTGACAAGCGACCAGGTTGTAAAGTAATAAAATAGAGAGATTTCAAATCTTAGATGTTTCAGCGCTGTTGATCAGGTAAGCTGTAAACACTTTTGATCACTTATGATAGCCAGTGCTTTTAATCCTGTAGGATGATCAGAGCAGTTGATCGTGTAAGATACTCAGTGTAGTTGATTTCACAGTTGATTACTCTTTTGATTGTGTAAGCTGGTCGGCACATTGATCCTAAGATGGTCATAGCTGTTGATTGTGCAAGATGATCAGCGCAGTCTAATGTGCAGTTGAGTCCGGCATTGATCATATAAATTGTCAGCATGTTCATCCAAAGATGGTCAGTGCTGTTGATTAGATAATGCAATCAGCACTGTTGATTGCGTACAATGGTCAGCACCATTGATCGTAAAAGACGGTCGTTACCACAAATCTTGTAAGATGATCGTTGCCATTGGCGGCACAAAATTATCAGCACCATCAACTGTGGAAGAAATGTAGCCCTGTTTCTAATGTTGACCACGTAAAATGATCAGCGCTGGTAAAACTGTAAGCTGCCAGCACTGTTTACCATGTAAGATGGTCAGTGCTGTAGATTGCAAAATATGATCTGTGCTGTTCATTGTGTGATATTGTCAGCACTCTGATCATGTAACATAGCCAGGGCAATGGATAGTGTATGAAACTATCAGCACTGTTGGTCACATAAGATGGTCAGGATTCATTGCATAAGACGGTCAGCGCTGTTGGTCTTGGCATGGACACATGGATTCAAGTTCAGTTCAAATCCAAGACAAGTATCACAATTACACAAATAATAGATTGAGTAATAAGCACTGGGCATTGCAAAAATGTATTGCATGTGTTTGGGCCCATGGAGAAACACATTTCACCAACTGCTCTCAATGTCGGAAAATCCGACCTGAACCTGCCAGCTGGAAAACGGCATCAGCTGTGTGTTAAAGCAGATTTATTTTAGAGGCCCTCATGCTTGGCAAAGTGCTGTAAACAGCCGGTCAGGAAAAAAATCAAATGAGTCTGGATTACATGGATGCTGACAGGTAATGGCCCTGGGAGCTGATGGTGTCAAAAACCTAGCTGCCCTCCTTGATGAGGAACATTACCAGTCTCTGTCCTCCTCCACCTTCTCACTTCTCCTTTCCACACCTCTTTACGTGGCTCAGCAGGCCATGAAATAGGTTTTTGTTTATGTGGGCATGCGGAGAAAGCAGAGGAAGAAGGAGCAAAGACATAGACTGACTTAAAACCATTATGAATCATTGTGAGCTTAATTCATTACGGTTGGCCAAAGTAGCTTTAATGTGTTGGTATTCAGCAACTTGAACAAAATGGGGCAGAAAATGCCAAAAAGAAGACATAACACAGTTGGATCATGTTTTCAACACATTGTGTTTATTTTCTGTGGTTAAGAAGCCAACTTTTCCAACTTTCTAGTGTTTTAGGGCCAATCATCCCCCTAATCTACAAATGATAAAAGCAGAAGCAACTAAAAGAAATGAGGCAAGGACATGACCATGAAAAGTTTCTTAAAGTCTGACTTAGATGACTTCTGAACTTTGGTAAGGATCACAAATTAAGTGGAAATCATCTGGGAATTGCTTTATCTGATCGAAAGCAGCTTTTGATTGTGCTGTCCAAGAAATGGACAAGAACTTGACACTGTTGTTATTGGCAATTGTAAAAATATGTGTCAGTAATGCTGATTACTTCTTCAGCTAGTTTTTTTTTTTTTTTAAATGCTCATCAGCCTTTTACATCGTTTTGCTTCCAAACTTCCCATGCTCAAAATAACAGTACCGAAGAATGAGTGACATTTTGGAATCCTTCGCGATATGCCCAAGGCTTTGAGTGAAAAGAATCAATCATGAAAGTTTATACTCCCACTGCTTTGGTCTGTTATGAAAGAACACTCCCACTGCCAACATCTGCCCCCTTGATGCATAATCAGCTGTCAAACTTAACTTATTTACCTGGAGTGTATGAGGCACATGGGACAAGGCAAGCTTAAGGTTCAAAAAGGAACCAATCTGCGGAAATGTGCTCCAATACAGATTTTCCGAGTGTCTGGAATTCCTCTTTGCACTGACACTGATTGACGTTGTGGGTGCGATGTGTGCACGGCGCACAGAGTATACCTCCATGCCTGCAGCCAAAGCCTATAGAGCCGCTTAGTTGCAGCATCCTGAGCTCACTCGCACACACACACCTCTACACCTGCTGGTACTTACACACACAAAGACCAAAGGGAGGAGAAGGGACCAAAGAAGAATGAAATTACCTGCACGCGCCTTAATGAGCGAGGGCCGGGCGTCTGGCATTTACCTCAAACCATTCCTGCTCTCTCTGGAGGGCTTTAAGCCCGCCGCCCGTTAACGGCTGAAGTGTGGATTTCCTGTCAAGTGAGGGTTAGGGCCTAACAAAAGTCCTGTAGGCTGGTACCTAAATAGGATCACTTCCAGCTGCCCCCCTTAACATACCCAGTGCTCATGTTGTCTTTATAGCGTCTTTATAGCACTTCAGACTCCAATAATCAATGTAATTATCCTATAATAAAGATATAGGATATTATAAAGTTGCATGATTAAGTGTAGACCTTCTAATAGTGTCCATACACTGTGTTTCTTTATGGGGGCTGTATGAGGTCAGTCTCTAAAGTGCCATTGGAATAAACTACAAATAGACTCTTGGAACTCTGTTTTCCCCCATACCTCGTCCTCTCTGGGGGGATTATTCAAACAGCAGGACAAATATTCCCTCAGTCCCTGACAGATATTTTTTTATCACTGTCATGCTGTGACTTTCACTAGAACAGCTGACCCTGTGTGCAAATAAAGATGCTGTGTCATGATATGGCATGGAAGTGCATCTCTAAATCAGGTTTATGCAGTTTAGTCCCAGTTTGTCACTTTATTGACGACATAAATCAAAGAAAATGGCAGTTTACAAGTTGTGACAGACTGAGAACATTCCAGAGAAGCATTAACCTTAAAGTCAACATGTTTGATTTAAAAAAAAGAACCGGTCAACTTGACATCAATGGATTCAATTAAACAGAGTTCATGATTAACAGGTTTTCAGTGACGTGCACAGACATGTCAGTGGCTCTTTATTGCTTCTTTTGTTTGTTTTATGCTAATGTTCTTTTTCTGGTTCTGTGTTAGGCATTTTGCAACTGGCTAATCCTTTGAGGATGCAATCACTCCTGTGGGCCAAGTGCTCTTTGGCGCAGCATGTAAAGAATCCCATCTGCCTTTTCAGTTGAGCCAAAGTGAGGCAAGTGAGGAGAGACAGAAAGATCATCCTGTCAAGAAGATCCTGTTTGATGACCTCTTTGAAAATCCGGCTGGTTGGTGAGTGAAGAGAAGTCATTCATAAAGTCATTAAAGATAGGATAGGAAATCTTTTTCAGAAGATGTTTTTTGTCAATTTGGGTGAATTTCTCTTTAAATCCTAACAGTTTTCAATAAAACAAATGCACTCAATAAAGTCATTTAATATAATTGATTAAATGGGCACAGCCACAGTTGCTGGATTTTTCTTATTTCCTCATTAAGCATTAATTAAACCATTTATTGTAACGTATTAACATTTTAAAATGTTTCTTCTTAGAAAATAGTATCGTGTGTGGCCATTTCTATTACATTTGGTTCTTGCAATACCTGATATATACTTTACTTTACTTTATACTTTATTTTAGTCCCATAGGTCCATATCTCACTTAAGTTTCATCAAAGCTGTACAAACGGGGGCCTGTTCCAAACAATCAATATAGTACTCTATCACTCTTGGCTTATTCTGGCAAAGTAGTTTGATCTATCTTAGCCTGTATGCTATTTCGCTCTGTTTGCTCTTTTTCGGTGAAAACCAAGTGGCAGTCGCTCGTGTTGAAAAATGAAGCCATTCTGAAGTGCAACAGAACAGCAGTTCTTGGAGTGTCCACCTGAGGCTTCTTGAGAGCCCGTACTAAAATGCCCAAATATAGTATATAGTATATATTTTTTTATTCTCTTTTATACTTCATTGGTAAAAGCTCTACAGATGTTATTTTAATTTGCATAGTTAGGTTTGGGCTGAGTTGACTGACAAGTGGATGTTGTAGCTGTTTGCTAGGAGTCTAAAGGCTCGCCTCAATGACACTTTTATACATGCTTCAAGGTTGAGAGAAATTAGGTGGAGAAGGCATTTCTAATACTGCTACCCCCATCATTTGTCTAAAAAATGCCTCTTCAGAAACCTATAGGGGAAGTCACTGAGCCTCATGTTTTATAAAGTGGAAACTCAAACTTTTTGCCCTTAGGATATTTTGTGCAATTCTCTTTCTGCAGCCCAGAGAAAGCTGGGCATGATTAATTCACATCTTTTTGTTAATCTGCTGGCATTAGGGAAAATATAAGAACTCACCAGGCTTTGATCTTTTGAGTGTTATAACCAAGTGACTCACGTTTCGTTTTATTTTGTAGGTGATAACCGGAAGCTGCACTATTTAAAGCAGCGTACTTGACGGTGCTGAAGGTGAGACGCTGTTTGAGAGGAGCACAAACTGAAGTTAAGTTAAGTGGGGGGGGTTGAACCGAGGACGTGTGGCTTGCTGGCAAAGTGGCATCTGAGTGAGGAAGTCTTCTGCTGGTCTCCAGACTCTCTGGACTTCATACAAGGACCGAGTCAGTCTCACTTAATCCGGATTCTATCCTGCTTATAACCATGAGGACAAACGTATGGATATACCAAGCTTTGGTGTGTGTAGTGGTCACTATATTGGATACAGGTAAGACATACGCAGGTTTGCTTCTAGATGATGAATATCAGTATGACATGTTTATGTTGTCCTAACTGTGAACTTTGGAGACAATGTTTTTATTTTAACTTTTCTTCTGGAAGAAAAAGTCAGAAATGAAGCAAGTCAGAAAAGCAGGGGAACAATATTTCGACATAGTTTTCTATGTTTTTAACTGGGATTTTGACATCCAGGACTTGTTTTAAATGAAACAGTTTAGAAAAGAGACTTTCTTGTTCATTTAAAGTAGGTTACATGACGCAGATGGGCATTGAATGAACTTGATCACAAGCTTCACCTTGTTCCTTCATTTGGCTCACTCTCTGAGTGAAATACACTAATAACTAAAGATTATGAAAGAACTTCCTTCAGGCTATTTGTTTTTAAAGAAAGTCTGTTAACAAACGAGTAGAAATTACTTAATTTAATTGAGTGTATATTTGGCTCTGATAATCGGCGAGCAGTCAGAACATAATAATTAATCAATTCAAACTGTTTTGTGCTCACATTTAATTAAAAACGTCAACAAGAATAGATTGGCACACCGGTGTGTGCTTCAACATCTGCTTAAAGGTACAGACCAGTAGCAAAGCGCACGTTTAGTGGTGCATCTGTTAGAACTCCTTTTTCATTACACCTTATTTAGGTCATACTGATAGCAGTCACTCTTACATCTGTCGGTAGCTGGTGCATGTCTGCTTGTAACGTTGCAGAGCATAAACACTTCCATCAGTCATTTAAGCGCATCCAAAACGAGCTGTGCGCGTCTTCTTTAAGCGCAGATTATTTGGTGGTTATAGGGTGTCCCGGTTTACATCCGCTGCCCGCTGCCATGTCACAGAGTAAAGCACTGAATCCATAGTTACCACCTCCAGAGGTGCCGACCCTGACCTTTGGCCCGCCCTGGAGTTGGGGAAAGTAAAATGTGCTTGTGTCCCGGTAGAGAGATATAAAGGGAGTGCGTGTGTGTCTGTGTAAGGGGGACTATGGGGGTAAAAAGGATGGGGTTGGAGGCTAACATCTGGTTGAGCCCAACACCACACTTTGCTCTCTGAAGCAGATGTGATGTCTGCTTAATTCCCAGACAGAGGCACACCTTTAACCTGCTACCTTCCTGTTGTTTGTTTAATTCAACCTTCTCCAAAACACTGCCTCAAAATGTATTAAAAAGTAGTATTATTGCATTTCCACAAGGGAGAGATAGCCTAAAACACTTATCCAGCTGAAACTGAAGTCCTTTGCTCAAGGGCACCCAAGTGGGAGTTTCTGAGTAAGGTGAGAGTCTTGGTCATTCACCTTTCCCCTCTACATTTTCTTAAGCCAAATCAAGGTCTCAAACCTGTTCCTGTTAGCTGATCCTGTCTCCTCCCATTAAATCTCATCTCTCTCAAACCCGCCGATTGAGCACATTTTATTATAATCTCCAACTTCAGCAAAATGCTCGGGATCTGGAGATAGCAGGAGTCGGACTTCGAGGAAAGGAAGAGACTTAAGTGAAATCTAATTGAGCAAGCTGGCCAGACATCAGGGCTAGAACAACACCATGATGAGTGCCAGATGTGGTCCAACGGAGTTCAAACATTAATAACATGTTATCCCCGAAAAACCGTTCTCAACCACGAGGACCCTCTTCAAGCTGCATGGTTTACAATATCCTACGTACACACACAACGTCCTGTGTCGGCTCTTGGCACAGGAGCATGTAGCTGTAACTCAGAAGCATGAGATTTTCATTTGTGATTTATATCGCATTTGCCGCTAATTCTAAACGGAAAACTATTGTAACTAAACACATATTGCGCCTTAAGATGTTTTTGTAGACCTCCAAACCAACATTTACAGTATGGAGCTCCATTCCGTTAAAGGATGGCCTCTTAACTTTTTCCACAAGGTAAAAATGAATGATTTGTCTGGCAGAGGATTCTGACTTAAAAAGTATGGTTTTGTCCTGCTTTTGAACCCACTCTGAACACATATACATTATACCATGTCTTTTCAGTGACACGTCTCTTTTGATGTTCTGATACCAAAGAACTGTCTCTCAACATATGCCTCTGAATAGAACAAGAATTTCTTAGAATTCTTCCAACTCTGACACCTATACATGTTTTCTACACATACCGTATGTTTGTGTTGGATGCAATAGCTGAGAAACTGCTCTAAAAGTGCGATCTATTGTTCCCTAAATATATATATCCCCCCATGTTGCTTAGATTAAATGAATAAACTCGCTGTCTCTGCAGTGAAACAGAATGCGTTTGAATGAGACTTTCATGACCTTTAAGGCCTCATGGATGCAAAAGTGTCTGTGGGAATAACATGTAAGAACAAAACTATAGCATTACAAATGTAATAAAGTAATAAAATATGTTGATAAAAGCTGTTCACTCTGAATGCAGTGAAATATGAGATATGCTTTTGTGAGCATCAAACCTCCAAAGGAGGCAGTTGAGTGCATTCAGCCTGTTGGATGGACATCTTTCATCTTGGCTGTCTTCACAGCTCAGCATCCACTCTTCATTTGTCAGGCAGCATTTTGGACTAAACTTTTATCCTTGACATCGCTCATACTTGTTTTCTGACACATCAACTCGTCTGCTACTTATGTTCATCTAGCACAGCCAAAGCACAATCGCACAAAAATATTCTCAAATTTCTCAGTTTTGACGCAGTGGCCATTAGCCCGCTGACAAGGGGCTCCGAATGGGAAACTCAAACCCTGTCACTGTGTTTCAGGTCAATCATTTAAATGTAGGAAATCTGACCAAATGTAATCATTTCACCACTTCCCAATAGACCAGCAGATGACAAATCGATGCTTAGAGAAAATCTCAAGGAATATTGTGTTGTGTTTGAAGATTAGACAATCTGAGATATCGGATTAGCTCCAGTTTAACAACAGCTAATGTTAAGGTTCAACCACTTCCAAGTTAACTTCTCTGGTATATCTCAATATTACGGGAAAAGCCTGGGATCCTTCCGTCTTTTTTCTCTCCCTCCGCTTACTCAAATAAACCCAAAAGGACAATACAGTCACATGTAAACAGTGATGAGAAAACAATTCCGCCTCTGTATGACTTTAAAATAAATGATCTGCTGTAGTCTGTAAATATACTTTGATATCATTACTATAATTAATATAATCAGGGTTTAAGTCATCCCAGGGCTGTGACTCCACACTTCATCCACATTTGTGTAGGAGGAATTTTCCTATGCCTAATTTTTAAAACTCCTCATGCAGCATCACAACATTATTACAGACTTGTAGCTTCCTACCGACTTCTGTGATATGGAAAACGTCTGCTTTGTGCATATGGTGAATATGTGCATGGTTGATTCAGGGTTAAAGACTTGTCAAATGATGTCTGAGTATGATTCATTATTGCTGATGCGTTAAGGGAAATGTAGTAAAAAAAGATATTATTCGCTGCTGGCCACCCAGGGCAACATATGACAGTGAAAGAACTTAATCTTTGTTCTACTTCAACCATGCCAAGACTCTGAAACCAGTTTAATGCCTCCTGCTGTTCTAATATTCAAACCACCAGGTGAAAACTCTGGGAAACACGCTAATGGGTTTGACAACTTCTTCATCCTCAGCGGCTTGACAGCAGCGGTGAAATGTTTGGCCATGTCTCCTAGAATTTGAGTAGTGTTTGATGCTTTGTGAAAAGGTGGCAAAGAAATCCACATGTTTGTTAGATATTATTATTTCTGCAACTTGACAGCTGACAGTTTAGATACATTCAGGACACGAGAGATTCAGACGAACCAAACCAAGAATTCCCACAGAAAACAGGTTGCGCCCAACCACCTGTCCGCTGGGACAAACCTTAATGTGTAATGTGAGTGTCACTCAAAGAAAAATCAAAACTGTCTCTTAAAACTCAAGCATCAACATCCCATTCCATCAGACAATCATCAAATAACTGGCAAAGGATACAGTCCTGTATAAACACTTATGCAGCATTCACATCATACAAGACGGAGGGTTGAGACAGGAGGAAACAAACGTTAAAGCTCTTTCATCACCTAACATCTTAAGACAGTTATATGATTGAAAGTTTGGTCAAGTGAAAGGCTAAAAATGCTGAACATTAACAATAATTAGCACTATATCAATAAAAAAAAAGTGGTTATAGTGCTATATTTGATAATTTGCCTGACATGCTGTTGCCTATTTGTATCATCAAGCACCAAGTCTGATGACTTTCAGGAAAATTGAATCCGAGCTCGTGATTTTCATGCTGTGCCCTCATGTTCTTGCAGGGTTTTGCAGAAGGACTCATCAGTCATTACAGAAGTATGAAAAGACCGAGCATCACATGCTGGTTTGCCTGGATTGTCCTCAGCGGACGATGGTGCGAAACAGTCGATCACAGGAGCACTGCGCCCGCAAGTGCAAGAAGGTCAAGAAAAACTTCAGCTGCAGGTGACTAACATTTTCTTTTTCTGTTTACCCTCCAAAAAAAAAAAAAAAAGTTCCCTTCACTCCTCCTCTTCTCCTGGGAAGATGAAATATTTACATATTTTGGGTGTTTATCATTTTGTCATCGCTCAACTACTTCCCGTGTGTTTCCACAGGGCTTTCAACTTTCAACGACACAACAGGAAATGCCACTTGCTTCCCTTTGACCGTTTCACCCATGGTGCACAGAAGCAGGCCAATGTCAATTTTACTTTGTATGAAAAAAAAGGTAAATGTGGCTATTTTTAGGCTCTTGAAGCTGACCTTATGCAACCAGGTGTTTTTTCTAACAAGAATACTCAGGTTCAGCCGGGGTTTTTGTGAGAGCAAACTGTTTTTTGGGGGCATTGCGGGTTATTTCGTCTAGCGCCCAAGTTTTTTAAGGTCCTTGGTTTTTCTGTCGTCACAATATAAAAACCAACCTCCCTCACCCCCTGCTGTTTAATCACCCCAGTGTGGAGAGACGCGTGCATAAACACGGAGCAGACTTAAGTGGAGTGTACACAAAAAAAACTCATTGTTTACAGCCGGAGCGCAACAACTTTTCTCCACTGCAGGCTGTGGAATCTTGCACTTTAGAGTTTACTGCAAAATTTACAGAAACTCCCCCCGGTGACATTTAATGAACTTCAGGGAGTTGTCTGTTTTGGGAATAACACACAAGCTTGGACAAAATAACAGGCGCTCTGTAAAAACCACTTATTGACCATAGATGGGAAACTATATTCCAGGTGGTCAAGGCAGGGGACACAAATCAACTTTTAACTGACCTAATGCTTTATAAACTGTCACACGGGGAGTACACAGGGACAACTTGTATCAAAAAGTGCAAATAAATATTTTCAAATGCTTTTTTTTTATGACTTTGTTTTTACTTAGATTATATAAGGGAGTGCATCATCGGCACCAAGGACAACTACAGAGGCAGGAGGTCATGGACAAAGTCAAACATCACTTGCCAAGCGTGGTCAGATAACATCATTAATGAGCACACGTAAGTCCTTCCTTTTATAACAAAGAGAGTTTTAAAAGAAAGTGGATTTCTGAGACAACAGCGCCTTGCTTGCGTGACACAGGGAGTCAAATGTGTTTTCATTCACTTCCTCTCATCAGATTCCTGTAGATTTGAAGCTGCAGCCTTCAAACGCTATGTTTTTTTTATTTTAAGTCTGCACCACCTTCCTGGATACTCCTTAGCTTCTTTCTCTGGGTCTGATATTGAACAGGCCTCAGCAGTTGATTTATTGATGTTCACATCATCCTGTTGCTCCTCTGGGGTTAAGGGATGGTGGAGGCAGGGAGGTGCGTGAACGTTTAGCCAGAGTTAAGTCAGATTTCTTTCAACACATGCAGGGATGTCCTCTCCATTGGGGTTGGGTTTTTTTTTCACTGCACTGTAGGCCATCAGGTGTATCCCAAAGATTTTTTTTTTTTTCCAGAGGCCCCACGTTAGGAAAGATCAGTGAATTTGTGATTATGGTTCTGTGCCAGGGTCTCATTAGTGGGGATCATTAGTCACAAGATATTTTAACTGCAGCATGGAGGGGGGTTGAGAGAATGAGTTATAAAAGTCAGAGGAAGTGCAGAGTGAAAAGATAGTCACAAGGGAGGTGGCATAAAACAAAGACATTGCAAAAATGTAAAGACTGAAGGCCTTTACTATCTGTTGTCCAGCTGAGCTCAAAGACATTCTGATAAAATAATTCCAGTGATCCGCCACAATTAAATCTCTTCACAGTGCTGGTCTTCATCCTCTCTTCTCCTTTTCTTTCTTCTTCCCTTCTTCCTTCAAGAATCAGCTTCACATTACGAATACTTTGTCATTGTTTATTTGACACACGGTTCTAGTTTCCTTCCCACATGGCAAATGTAGCGTCCATCCACATCGCCCTGGCTTGTCAGCAACTTTTAACTTAAAAAGGGTCAAAGGGAGCTTTACTTAAGGGAGATTTAGTGCCACTGTGAGGTTACCTAACATGGGACTGTCCCGCTGTGTGAGAATTACCACCGTAATGAACCACGCACCGTTTGAGTCTCAGGTAACTATTATTTTCATGCTTGACCGATCACCGTGGGGCAGGGGTGATTTCTCAGGAGGTTCCCTTCCAGGAATGGGACTTCCACCTGTTGTCTATATTTAGTGTTTGAACCGTGGGGAAAGAGCTGTGGACTGATGCCCAGCCAAGCGTGGAGAATGGAATGGAATGGAACATTTCTGTTCATATTAATAATAACAACTGATAACATTGAAGTCATTCATTGATCCCTATGGGACCATCGCTCATGTTTTAACACATGTACACCACAAAGTCAGTTCACACTGCCATAAAAAAAAACTCTCTCTGCAGCTTCTTTAGAAAGATTGATACCATTCTCATGCCTGCATGGTAATATGAGGCTTCCCCAACAGCCAGCTAGCTTAGTTTAGCTTAGCTTAGCTTAGCAGAATGACAGAAAACAGGTAGAAAAGCTAGCATGGCTTGCATGTTGGTTAGCTGAATGGTTTGTTGTTTTCGTTACCTTGGGGGGGAAACATGCTGGCTGTTTCTTGTCTTTTCACCGAGCGTAGCTAAGCTAGGCTAACCATTTCCTGACTGTAGCTTCATATTTGGCTATCTCTAAGCGTCCTACATCACCCTTGGCAAGAAAGTAAACAAGTGCATGTCAAAATTCTAAACAATTGTTTTTAATTCAGCATCCTGCTTCCAAAAATTATTAATGTCTTCAGACTCATTAATTCCCTGCGTGCTTGCTTTAATCTGTTAATAATTTTACGTTTGGATGCGCAGCATTGATGCATGATCATGTTTTTTCCATAATCTCCAGCTGCATGTTGCTTGACATTTTACAGCAGTTACTTCAGCTCTAGGTTTCAACTTTAGTTATGTACAAAATAAAGCCAATCTGTTCTCTTGCCGGCCCAGAGAGCGAAGCATGTGTGCACACAGTCTCTGCCTGCGGTCCCGATGGGAACAGACCTTGGCAAGGAGATGAATAACTGGCCAACATCTGTTAGCGCAACATCATTATTGCTAACTTGCTCCCATGCGACGGCCTTTTTTACGGACTCTGACCAGATGCACCCCCTTTTTTTCTAAGTGAAGAACCTTGTAATTCCATTTATAATTTAAGTATACTCTTCTATGATAGAAGTAGTGTATGTTGAGCTGAGAGTTACACAAAGCCGATGCGAAGTTTGGTACTTCACAGGCTGTCTCATTGAAGGGGAACAAGTGTTTTTTCTCTGTTTTGTTATAGTGAAATGTTGCTGTTTGTCTTGACCCAGTCCTATTTTTCCAAAGGTGGGACTATGATCTCTAGCACCCCATTTGTTTGTTCATTTTGGCCTAGTTAGATGCCTGAGATTTTTTCTCCTTTGGAGTGAATGATGTTGTGCATTAGTGAACAAGCCTTGGGTAAGCCCAAGTGCACAGAGGGGAGAGCAGAGCAGACTCCCCCAGGAAAAGAGTCATTGTCTGGGTTAGAGTTTTTAGACAAGCTGTGGAAGGGAGGGTGGGCTCTGGTTCTTTTTGCTATTCCTTTTTTTATCTTTATATAATCAGTACACACTAAGCTATTGCCTTTTTCTCACTCCAGTATGCCAATGTTATCTGAGTTCAAGGGGACCCTTCATTTGTTTCTTTCATCCTTCCATGCCCACAACTTTTTCTTCTGTCTTCTATCTCTGACTCCTTGGGTGGGAGGGGGAATGCGGTCAGCATGGATCATGAGGTGCTGACATGTCAGCTTTTCATCATCCCTTCCTGACAGAAGATGAATTTCACACACTGTCCATTTAGTACGGGGCTCCCATGGCGACTCCCATTGTTACATTCCATATGTTTGGACAAGCTTGGTTCTTTTTCTTACATTCTTACATTCAACCATCTACAGAGAGGTATTTGGTTTAAAAGTGTTTAAAGGCTGCCAGCAAAAGACCTGCTTGGGTTGCTCCAAGTGGCTCGTTGCATTGTTCTGTGCTGTTGGTGATTACTGTGCTGTGACAGAGTCTGGCTGTTTCACACATGAGGGAGCAGGAATATGGTAGGAATCAGTAAGGCGATCATGCAAGAGGTGCAAAGCTAGAGAGCAGAAGTGTATTAATGTCATACTTTACATACGGTTTCTTTGAAAAGTCATTCTGCGATTTAAAATGTTTCCTGGTCACATAACATTTTCTCAGAATGAAGCTTACATCTGAATGTCAATGCCTTTTGAATTTATTTTGCTTGTTACTGAGAGCACTGGCAGGTACTGTATACACCACTGGAGCAGCCAAGTGTGCAAGTACTCCCTAAAATTTATTTATACAGCTTACAGTATCAGTTAACACTTTCAATAATGTGTGTCTACTCCCCTGTAGGTTTTATCCTGATAGGTACCCAACGCAAGACCTGAGGGAGAACTTCTGTCGGAATCCTAACAACGATCCTGGTGGTCCTTGGTGCTACACCACTGACCCAAATGTACGAGCCGAAGAGTGTGGCATACCCAAATGCTCAGAAGGTGAGAGCATACAAAAAAAAACCCATACCTTAGCAATCAAATTAAGCTCATATAAATGAGAAAGGAGTGACTTTTTAAGAAAGGTTCTAGTATTTGTTTTTGAAGTCTCATTTTTTTATCTGTACCATGCAAAACCATAAATCTGGTTTTACTTCTATATGCAGACAACACACACCTCTACCTGCCTGTTGAACTTACTTAAAACCATTCATATCTGCTTGATGTTTATCAGCTGAATGACAGCAAATCCTTGGTCAGTGTCTTTGCCCCTATGTGATAGAGCTTGATGATAGTGACCGCCTTTTAGTCCCTGGTTTTCCAATTTAAAGCCATTTGCGTATCGGTGTAATATTTTACTCTAAATTTATACTACTTCTCAAAGAATGTGCTCCAGGCCGGTTTTAGCCAAGAATGTCCCCCAAATCAAATTATGTACGTCATTCACTGGTTTGGAGAAGGTTTTTTAATTGAGTATATCTTATCACTATAGACTTTTGCATTCTTTTTCTTTTGTAACATATTTTTCTTTCCATCTTTTATGCATGTAAAGCAATTTATTACTTTGTTTTTGAAAACTCTTTGGACCTTAACCTGGGATACACAGAGTTTACCCTATAATTGTTATTATTTCTTCACTGGAAGTCATGTTTACATTCATTACTTGAGGAAAGAAAGCTCTAATAGATTTTGTTTTCTTTGTTTGACAGAAACCTGTATGACATGTAATGGGGAAGATTACCGGGGCAAAATGGATCATACAGAGAGTGGCAAAGAGTGCCAGAGATGGGACTCCACAAGACCTCACAAACACCACTTCCAGCCCAAAAAGTAAGCTGCAAAGCTTATAATCACATAGTATCTTTTCTCACGGACAATGCTGAACACACCCATGACAGATGCTTAAAGAAATGACGCTAATACTCAGGAGACATAGACCTCACCAGTTGATATGACTTACAGCCCTCCCTCCTATTTTCTTTCCTCCCTGTATCCCCTCTGCCTTCTCTCTCAGGTATCGAGACAAAGATTTAAAGGACAACTACTGTCGTAACCCAGATAATCGTCTTCGCCCCTGGTGCTTCACCATGGATCCCAAAACTCCGTGGGAGTACTGTAACATCACTGTGTGTGGTAATGGTAAGAGCCCATTTGTTGATGTGCTCCAAATCTGAGGTTGGGTTTTGTGGAGAATCCTCAACAAATCTTTTGATCCAGCCAATCCCTGTTTAGATAGATGAATGACTCAGTTGCTATTTTTTCTCTACATCTACTACCCTTACAAGCCTAAAACATAATGCATCACACAGTTATGAATCCATGCAAAGTTTCAAAAGTGGATTCAGTGTTAAAGATCGGTTGCTTGGTTTTTGAAAAGACTTTGGTTGGATGCTACCAGCTAGCTAGCGGTTTGAGGGCGCCATGGGCTTTGCTACATACAGGACTTTGGTGGTTTGGGGTTAGTTGGAGTGAGCTGAGTAAAAAAAAAGCCCCTTTTCTCCCCTGCAGAGTTTCATAAATCTTTTGTTTACCCGGCTGGGTGTTTCATGTGGTGCTCGGCTTCAAATCCTTCTACCTCAACAAGGAAGAATAAATAGGTTGTTTATAAAGGGGAGGGGTTCTGACTGGAGAGCCTGAAGTGTTTAACAGAGACCACTGACAGATGACAAGGGACGGTAAAAAGGAGTGTTACAATAGAGGCTACTATATAGAGATTATGATAGCTATTTCAGTGGTATAAAGAAAATCCTTACACAAACAAGCAATTTAAAGGACAAAAGAGAGGAGAAAACATCATGGACACAGATGCTGCCACACACAGCAGGAAGGGTGACTGAGTGGTTTGATGAGTTGGGAAATAACGTGAATCATATGTTTTTGCCTTTTCAGTCACAAGATCTCAATCAAATTGAAAACCAAAGTCAGGCCTTGAGGACTGACAACATTCCCGACAACCATCATGAAAACAATGGTGTTCGTCGCTTAATTACGGCTCCAGACTTACCAAGAAACTTCATATTGATGTTTCTTTATTATGTCACCAATCTGTTTAGAAGTATTACAAGAAAATTGTCAAAGAATGAATCTACTGTTTAGAGTAATCAGGTTTTTGTTCAGTTTTATTTTACTGCAAAACTGTATTTTAGTGCTGATGGTATCAACCTGCATCTTGCCATAGCTGACCACTTTGTCATAGATTATTACACATAGAGAGATCACACTAATGTAACAGTAACTCAGAGAACCAAGGTTACGTTAGTGACCTATGTATTCCCAATTCTATGTATTTGTTTGAATCATGGACAAACAAAAAAGCAGTGTGAACACCTTGAGCTTGTGAACATCGTCCATTACTTTACAATGTTTTTCTGACTTTTATGGATTAAACTTTTATTGTTTTAAAGATGAAGCAAAGGATTGCCTTATCTTTAAAACAATCTTAAGATGCATCAGTATTTAAATAGTCACTGTGACAGAGACAAAGACAGATGATCTGTGTATTTGTGTTACATTAGAAAGCCAAAAGTTACCTAAACTCCAGCTCTGTCAGACCCAGAGTATTTGTTTGGTATGTTTTTAACATCTTTGAGAGATTTGCAGAATAATTTCACTTGAGTAGTTACACATTTGGCAGGATCTGACAGAGTTGTAGTTTATGTAGCGTTTGGCCTTCTAATGTAAAACAAAAAATAACAACGGGCGCCAAAAAATGGTTACCCCAAAGGTGAATTTGTTCTTTACTTTTCTTTGAAAGCACAATGAAATATTTCCACATGTGCGGCAACAAACACACAGATCATCTTTCTTTGTCTTGGTCAGACACATACACACATGTAGTGACGAGTACATGTTATGATTTACAGCAAGGGCGGAGGATCTGCATTTGTCCAGATGTGTGCATCCCTCAATGCCTGCCCTCAGAAAGATAAAAACCACTGACCTGTACAACACAGTGCACACAGACACTGGCATGCATTACATCAAGCCAAAGAATCCCTCTTTTCTATCCGCCTTCTCATTTCTGCTTTAAAACATTCCCTTTCCTCCTCCATCTTCTCCCATATCATTTGTCAAAGGCTAAGTAACAGAGACAGAAATCTGGAGGGGAGAAGTCGCTCCCTAAGTATTGCAATTCCTGCACTGTTGAAAAGCAGAATTCCTTCTCAAGATGTTTGGAATAGTTTTCCGGTGGATAAAGTTGCCCCAGCCAGATTGGGTTGGATTTGATATATTTGGTTTAGCTAGAACAAACAAACTTACCAAAAAACATGTCTAAATGTTGAAATGAAGATGTATTCATAAACAGGGTCAGATTCCATTTTTTTTAATTACAACCTGTGGCATTGTGCGGTGTCAGCAAGTTAAATAACTGCATGTTGTTTTGTTGTGGATGTCCCTGCGTGCAGGAATGTGGGGCACCAGTGTTATGAATACACAGAAAGTTTCCTATCACAGTTGAGACATGGAGGGAGTGCTACTGTTTTTGATCATCTGTCTCTAGGTTAAATATGACACATTCTTCTAGGGATTAATATAGCCCTCCTTCTCTCCCTCCCCTCTGCCGGCCTTTGATTTCTACATCTCAGTCTCTTTACATAGCTTTATCTGTGATTTCAATTTCCTGATTATGCTCAGACATACAATTTCTATCTTTTTTTTTTCTTTGCAAGACTCTGACTCAAGTGAGGAGACATATGTCAACGTAACAACGTCCTGTGTCCAGGGAAAGGGCACCGATTACCGCGGCACAATGAATGTGACTCCAGAGGGTGTGACATGTCAGCGCTGGGACTCCCAGTTTCCCCATAACCACTCGTTTCTTCCTCAGAACTTCAAATGCAAGTGAGTCATCCTTCTTTTGTGGCCCCTGACAGCTTGGATTCGATTCTATCTGCTGTGTCAGGGAGGTGATTTGCTCATTTTGTGCATTTGACTGTTGAAGTGCCAAAAGGCAAGAGATGAAAGTAAAACCCGAGTCATCCTGCTTTTGCTTTAAAAAAAAATGCCTTCTTCAGCACCATCATTTAAATTGTAGTACGTGTATGTGTCACAGGGACCTCAGAGAGAACTACTGCCGCAACCCTGATGGTGCAGATTACCCTTGGTGCTTCACTACAGATCCTAATCAGAGGATAGCCAACTGTACACATGTCCCTAGGTGTGATGCTGACGCCACACAAAAAATAGGTAAAATACTTTATATTTTAAGATTATAGAAACCGTCTTGCCTTTGTTATCAATTTTCTCTCTGACTTTTAGCATGGAAGCAAAAAAGCATTTCTCCCGAAAAGTTAAACTTTAATTTTAACATCCCAAAGCACACAACTAATATTTTGTATATTACTATAGCTTTAAATTTTTTCTCTTTTATAATTTATTTGAAAAGGAGAAACACTTGTGGTCCTAAAGCCATGCCATGTTTTTGGAAAGTGGATTTACACAGACACTTTCTATAATGCTCCCATCAGAGTCATGCTGCCCAATGAATTCCATTTCATGAAAGAACAAAACACCACACAAAACAAATGCTTGCTGTCATTTCCCATGATTCTCTGCTTTACATTTGCTGTAAGACCACACATGTCAAACTGCAGCCAGACTGATGTCTACTATAGCCCCTGTTCAGAGTCTGTTTTAGAACAGACATAGCAAGGTTTCATTTTTCTATTACATTTGAGAACCACCAGTAACACAGAAGCCCTTGACACTAAATTGATCCAAACCACATAGGAAGCAGGAACACTTAATTGTGTTATGTTTGCATCAATGAGAAAAACAGCCACAACCAAATCAGGTACAGTTCTTTTAGTATACCCACTTAATGATGCATTAAGGTATTTTAAAAATGGCTTGGCTCAATATTCCATACAACCTTCTGTCTATTTTACAAGTTAGCCTTAAATGACTTTATCCTGTTCTTCCTCAGACTGTTATGAAGACAATGGAGAGGCATACCGGGGCACTTTATCCATAACCCGATCAGGAATTCCATGTGCAGAATGGTCACATCACATAAACAGGTAAGAAAGAAATTCATTATGCATGTACAGTACATTTGTCCTTTTTCCCTTTTTATTACCACCCAGTCAGGCGTACGCTATGTGAAGAAACACTGAAGGTATTTCCTGCTTCATCCGCCATCTTGGATTTCCACAGTATCTCTTCTTACGTCATGCTCCCTGCAGGGAGGAGCATGACATGACTTCCTTAGGAGTACATGTGTGAAAAGCTACAGAGACTGACATTCTTTTCAGCTCAGTTGATGTTTGTTGACAACCTAGCTCCCATGCCTGTGAAAATCCTTTTCAAATGAATGAAGCTAAGAAGTGAAAACAAACAGCAAGAGGAAATCAGGGGTTCCTCAGGGGTCAATACCAGGCCCAATTATTATTCATTTAACTGACGAAAGGAAACCCTGGGGTGCACTCCAAGTGACCCAACCTGACGGAAAGGTTGGGCTGTTGCTCCATGCTTAAGTCAGGCTGTTGGAATAACTTAATTTACAGGAATTTTAAAAGCCAAAATGGCACAGACAGATGGACATGTTCCAGAGCCGACCCCTGACCCCAGGAAGTGCTTTCTGAGGAAAGTAGATCAAAGCCAATCAGCTCCCTTGCGTAGACTGCAGCCAGCGAGTCTGCCCCTGCTCAGGATCAAGGGTCATCCCAGGAAAAACTGCTGAGAGCTACAGCTTGTTTAGCATTCTCCTGGGAAGTGGAATTATCCTCACCCACTGACAAATTGTTGCCAATTGCTTCGCATTACTTTTCAGTGTGTCTGTCCAAACTTCTATATAGTAATTTCTAGACTGTGATATTATGGATATATGAGAAGATTACATTTAAATGTCTCGAAGTCGTTAGGAATGTTACAGAAAGGAACACAATTAGTTGAATTCCCAAATATCTAGAGCAAAGTCAAATCTTTCCGTGGAGGATGTGACTCCTGCTGGTCTGAGCCCTTATAAATGCTTGGAGTGCATACTTTAATACTCCCATGAGCACTCTCCACAAAACTCTGTTTCCTTCTACGGGCTCTGTGGGGCAAAAACAGATGATTCTTTGCACTATAGGAAAGCCAGAGTTAGACTTTCCAGGCATACCGTGGTTCCTTACAGTGTTTATGTACTGTATGTGCAAAGAAGTGGGTGTATGCGCATGCTTGTGTGTTTATGAAACGTGGCCCAGTGTTAGTTCTGAAGCACTGTGGGCCAAATAACAAATGGAATATGAGAATCTGTATTTGTGTGTTTTACAGTGGGGATTCTCACTCTACAGAATCCCACGTAGGGCTGGAGAGCAACTACTGCCGGAACCCAGACCGGGACAAACATGGCCCCTGGTGTTACACCAATCCAAATAATCGTTTGGTCTGGGACTACTGCAAGCTGAAGCACTGTGAGTGGATTATGTTGTATTATCTTGCCTCATCTTTTGTCTATCACTGTTTACCTGTGTTACGTCATCCATAGCTAAACCTAGGTTAACCAAAGTAGTAGAGACATGCTTCTCACACATATAGGCCCGAATCACACACATGCACAAACAGGACCTGTGGACATGCATTAGTGGAGAGAAGTAAGAGTGGTGCTGCTTCAGTACACACTGCTACGCAGGGAGCACAACACAGCGGTTGGGGGTTCTGTGCCTTGCTCAAGGATACCTCGGTGGTACTCGGGAAGTGCCCTGGCAACTCTCCAGCTACCAGACCAACTTACATATTACGGTCTGCATCAGGGCTTGAGCCGACGACCCTTTGGCTCCCTATGGACTGAGCTACTGCTATCCCTAGCAACGTGAGAAGTGTTGGTCTTGATAAAGTGATTATTGTAGACAAGTGAACAAACTACACAAGTTAAATATTGCTTTTACAAGTTGCTAACAGGTACCACATGTTTTCTCCTGAGTATTCCACTGCAACAGTGACAGCTTGATTCACATACACAAGTTTTGCTGTCATGTTTTTTATGAGGCTTCTTGAAGCATAATGAGGCACCATAATGGCTGCCAAAACGGCTGCAGTTGTTACAAACATGTGTACAGATACAAGCTGCTTTGAAAAGTAGGAGCATGAGGGTAATGGCTATTATCATGTCTGTAGGGCTCTGGCTAAATGCAGCAAAATGCAGGTGTGGATTGATAGTTTTGGAAAATATCAGAAAACTGGCACCATTAAAAAATGTCAAAGCAGCCCTGCATTACTACTACCTTGTGTGCTTCTATGGAGAACAAGAACTGCTTGTGGTTTAAGAATAATAGGCTGTGAAATGGTCAGTGGCAGACTCTGAACCCACAACAACAAACAGCTGAACATTTTGAGAAGAAACCAAGGTGGTTTGTTGGGTCTAATAGCTAATAAACTTTCACGTCGTTGAGTTAAATTTACAATGTGCAAAAGTGCTGGAAGACGATATTTCAGGGTCAAACAGGGACAATTTGGTGGTGATCATTATAGATCAGAGAACCCCTAATGGTTTTGGGTGCAGTAAAATGAAATAATACAAGTGATAAAGTTTGGAAGTCTTGGTTAACTTAAACAAAAAAGCGATGTGTTAGCCATGCTTTTGTCCAATGTTCAAACAGCAAACAGATGCAGGTCTCCGCTGACATCCTTCCATTTGAGAAAACACACACAAGCGGCTGGACCCAACATTTTCTTTGGCTGGTTTCAATCTGGCTGCATTTAAGAGCCGCTCTCAAATGGCCACATAATAATTTTCTAAATATAAAACATGTCTTCCATGAAGTTTTTGAGGTCTACAGCAAATTTATTTCCTGTGGTCGCTGGCTGTTATAGCCTAGAACAATGATTTCAATTGAGAGTCTTTATGAAGTGAGGAAGGGTTTCTTTTTCGATTAGGTTTAATACCTCGTGTGTCAAGGGTTTGAATTATTACATACTGCTGTGGGGTCTCATTTCACTGTTGAGCTTTTCTTTACTTCTATCAGGTGAATCAGCTACAGTGGCTCCTCAAGCAAACCAAAGTGAGTATCGGTTTTACTTATCAGGCTTTTATCTCTTATCTATAATCTGGCTCCTTTTCCTTTATGACTAAACACATTTCATTGCTTTTTGAAGTTTACTGAAACTTTTTTCCCTTGAAATGTAAATTATACATACGTTGAACATGTCCCTAAAAAAAACGTCTCCTTGTTTAGCTCTTACAAGGCCCAAGATATCGTGCTTTGTGCATATAAACACCAGGATTGTTGGAGGACACCAGGTGAGAGGAACAGACGGCAGCTGGGTCGTAAGCATCCAAAGAGAGTAAGTGTCATTTTACAACTGTTTTTAAAGCATGTAAATACTCATGTAATGCTTTTATACATACACTCTGCTTTTGTTGCCGACAGTAGTTGTGATACTGTCTTCTTAAATGTTCCTAGGAAGGTTCATTTGTGTGGTGGCTCGCTGATCAGAGAAAACTGGGTTTTAACGGACCAACAGTGCTTCACCTCCTGGTATGACAGCGACTTTTGATTGTTCTGATACTTTTCCTTTTTATACCCATGAGACAAACTTTCACCAAATCCTTTCTCCCTTTACTCCATCCCCTTGACATGTTTGTTGTCCACTTGCTTCCCCTTTTTTTTTAGTACTGTTTGAAATTACGATGCAGGATGTATCCTGTTTACTGACAGGTCCCTTCCCCTGCCTGACCGGAGATATGGAACAGAAAGGTTCGGCCTGCAGATCTGTTTAGCCTCTGCAGGTTTATCTGAGTCAAAGCTAATCATATACACACATATCTCTATATCTGATGTTTTGGCTTCAAAGAAAAAGGCCCTATCTCTGAATGTACTGTATGTATTACATATGGTGTGCATCAGTAGCCATTAGCCTGTTATTTTTAGGCTCATAAAAACAGGGTTTCCTTTGAAACTCTGCTTTTAGTCTTTGTTACATTTGTGTGTCGTCTCCATATGTTGCATATTTGCAAAAAGTATCAATATAGATGATATATAAGTGTCAAATTTAAATTGCTGGCATCATTTATGTGTAGACCTTGCTCAAGGGTGCAGCAGTGAATGTCAAAATGCACCTGGAATTTTATGCTATGTATGTTACAAATGTCATAAATGATTTTACTTTTCTCCTGGCCTTTCCACTGAACACATGCAAAAACATGATATTTTTATCATTTTGGCCAGGCCCCACCCTTTACTTGTGTTCTACTGACTCTCTATGAGCTGGACCGCTGCCTGAGATTCTCCTGCAGGGTGGTTTCTAAAACCTGAATGGTCATAAAAGGTGAACGAGCTTTTGCAGTTCGGGCCCCACAGCTTTAGAACGCCTTGCTGGGAGAAGTCAAGGCGGCAAACTCAGTGTCCCCTTTAAATCTCTTAGAACTCTCTTATCTCATGGGTCGGGGTAGAGCATGCAGCCTAACCGGGCGGGCGTGAGCTTTGCACTGTCTCTGCCATCCCTGCAGACTCTTCTTTTTGTTTTCCCTTTTCTATTTTGTGGTTGGGATTGGGGGTTTCTTCACTTTTTGTCCTTTGATTGGACATGTGTGTTTATTTCAAATACCTGTTTATTTGCCTAATTACTTATCTTAGCAATGACTTAAGTGTAGACCTCTCTTGATCTGAGAAAACTTCTCTTTCTTTTCCACTTTACTTGCACAACTTAGTGACATAGTGTTGCTGTCCCATCAATGTGTGGGACTCAATGAAATGGATTTCATGTTTAAATGTTGCTTGTTGCTCACAGGTACCACATGTTTTTTTCCATTGCAACAGTGACAGCTTGATTCAAATACACGAGTTTTGCTGACATGTTTGTTATGAGGCTTTCTTGAAGCATAATGAGGCACCATTATGGCTTCCAACACGGCTGCAGTTGTTACAAACATGTGTACAGATACAAGCTGCTGTGAAAAGTAGGAGCATGAGGGTAATGGCTACTATCATGTCTGTGGGGCTCTGGCTAAATGCTGCAAAATGCAGGTGTGGATTGATAGTTTTGGAAAATTCAGAAATCTGGCACCATTAAAAAATGTCAAAGCAGCTCTGCATTACTATTACCTTGTGTGCTTCTATGGAGAACAAGCACTGCTTGTGGTTTAAGAATAATAGGCTGTGAAATGGTCAGTGGCAGACTCTAAACAAAAAGAGTCTCATAGAGTCTCATAGAGTCTCTCCTCATAATGTTTCACCATGTTGAGTTAAATTTACAACGTGCAAAAGTGCTGAAAGATGAGATTTCAGGGTCAAATAGGGACGATTTGGTGGTGATCATTACAGAATCTAGAACATCTAGCATCTGGGAGAAACCCTTTCCTGTCCCCTAAATCCCCACTTCTTCCTAATCCAAGTCTCCAGTTTGTAACACAGTCTTTCTTTTAAACAGTTAAATAAGTATCAAGCTGAAGTGAAGATAACCCTACATTATCACTCATCATCATGACTAGTTCAAGATACTGCATGATTACAACTTACATGTTGGTGCTTGTTATTATCAGTGTTCCAGATCTCAGAGATTACAGTGTGCAGGTTGGTCTGCGTCACCTTAATGAATCCTCAAACCACCCGAGGCTGCGGATCTCTCGCCTGATCTGTGGCCCTGAAGGATCCAACCTGGTTATGCTGAAGCTAGCAGAGTAAGTCCACAAAGACTCAGTAAGCTTCCAATGACTGTCATTTCATATTTTGTATTGTGATAACCATTATAACGCTCATCTGAATGCATAATAATCCTTTAAATTCCCCAAAAAGAGCACATTTTGATTATTTCTACAATTTTTCAAAAGCAACTTTCAGTTTGAAACCAAATCCCTCTAATTTGCATTGCTTGTGTTTATCTCGTATGTTTATTTTGATAGTCATTTTTTGATTGTTTGTTGCAGTCCTGCCCCTGTGTCTGAAGGTGCCTCCACCATTCACCTCCCAGTCAAAGAGTGTCACATCCCTGAAGGCACCAACTGCACCATGTATGGATGGGGGGAAACCAAAAGTACTGCCTTCTTTCACCCACATTTGTATCAAAATTATTTTCACACCAAACAATGTTGGTAATGTTTTACAATAACGCTGTATATGCCTTTTATTTTCAGATTCTGGACACGATGAGGTGCTAAACTCTGTGACCATGCCTATGGTGGATAATGACATGTGCTCACAAATCAAAGGGGATGCTGGGGAGAGCAGAATATGTGCCGGCGGCAGGAGGGGGGAAGGCATTTGTGACGTAAGGAACCAAAAGATTTCAACACAAGGAACACTTTAAACACTTACACAAATTCTAAATAACAAGGCAACATATCAATTCATTGTTTTCACAAGAGACATCTCATAAGGAATATTCATAGACAATTTGTCCTTGGTTTAGTTTGGTCATTTAGAAAGCAGTATTTGCGTTTGTTAGTGTGCTGTCTCTCTGATTTTTGATTCTACTTTTCTCTTGCAGAAAGACAACGGTGGTCCTTTAGTTTGCCAGGAACATGAGCGCAAAGTCATCGTCGGCGTGAGCATCCAAAGAGCAAAATGCGCCTCATCGCAGCCGGCACTTTTCGTTAACGTTGCCTTCTACTCTGAGTGGATATACAAAGTGTTCAGACTCTACCCCAACTTCGAGAGGAACTGATGCATGGCTTAAGCACAAACTGCAAGAAGGAACTGGCAGCAAATTCCTAGACTATTCCAACATGGGGAGGAAATGAGGAAAATCACCTAATGCGATTTTCTGGCTGTTTTTTCCGAGAGGACAGAGATTAGAGATCGAAGACTGGATAAATGAAATGGAATATCATCCAGTTTTTTACTTTGCAAATGAAGACATCATTTATTAAACCAAAGTCTTTGGCACATGCATACAGTACTAATAGTATTTTGACATGTTCAGAATTTCTGAAGCCACTCAAACAAAGACAATGAAAGAGAAGGACTCTTGTGACTCAGTATTATCTCCTGGAATTTACTTGAATATGGACAGAACCTGGTTCTCTGGGGGTCGCTTCATGGGTTACCCTTTTTGCGACTGGGATTTCTCCTTTCTACGCATTGAGCTGGACTGCAAATAATCTCTTTACCCCCAACACAAAGACACTTATGTGATCATACATCTTTGGTAAACCCTACAAATATTGGACCCAAAATGATAAATAGTGTTCTGCTACTCAAGAATCTTTAAAGCCACCTGTAGGCAGTACAGACACTATGGGAAAAAATAGCATTTAGCTTAAAACCCATAATTGCAACGACATTTAAAATATGGCTTCCAAATGTCCAGCATTAAAGTGTATGAATTACATTATTGCTGTTTAAAAAGCTAACTGCAAAGCCGTGCCATGCTAATTGTGTGCAGTAGCTGGACTACCTTTTCCCTCAGTTAGCTGTAATTGTTAGTATCCCCGTGAGAGGGTCTAAGTAGGACTGAGTGGACTGCTCCACATCTTATGCTAATATTTGTAGCATGAGAGAGAGAAGAGTCATGCCAAATATAACATGGCTATTTGGCCTCCAGTTTGGAGGGAACTTTGGCCCCTGATGGGCTGTGTGTGGTCAGTAGGAGATTTTATACTTTACTTTTGTTTCATGGAAAGTGACTCCTTATGTACAGAACTGCAGATTTATAGGTGTGTTTCCTGCAGAGTTGTAAGGTTTTATGGGTCTTATAGATCTGGATTATTGTTGGTTGTCTCATGTCGGATTGGTTTTCTTTGTGTCTTTGATTGTCTTAAATATTTAAAGAGACTAGTCGCATTGTCAGAAGAAGTTAGATATATTTATTTTTGTTAAATGAGCACAATACATCATTCAAAAGGATCCAGATTCTGATGTGATATTTAGCGTTTTTTTTCTTCCTTCTGAGAGTAATTGTGACCCCAGAATAAGTGGTCTGGATGTTTGACTTACAGGTTGACTTACAGGTAACCGCTAACACAAACACGATCTACAATGAAAGCGTACAAAAACCCTCTTCAGTAAGGACTACGTGTTGCTGAGCAATAATATTTATCCAGAGAGTTTAACCTTTACCAGCTGTGCATTTTAAACAAACGCACATACTGAATGCCAGAAATCAAAGGTTATTCAAACATTTAAAGCAAAATAAGTACAAAAGCACTCATTCAATAGTAACATACCAATCTGATTCAAATGAGATTACAAAACACAACAGAAGTATATATTAAAGCTCTTGTGAAGAACTTTTGATTTGTGTTGATTTTGGCGCCCCATGTGGATAAAGTGGTAAATAAAGATGTGCCCTTTTGATCTCTTCATCCGACACCTACCCCTTCCTAGCAGTAACAGGCATAAGAAATGACATTATGAAAAACATGAATCTTGTTGTTAATGGTCTCTTATCCTTTTGTAGGTTATAAAAAAGGCTTCAGAATAAATCTCAGTGTGTTTTAACCAGTTAGGAACTCCTCACATGAGCTTTATTTTGTTAGCAAAATAAGATCCTTTAAAGACCATTTGTCTTTGACCCTTGTGCTATTTTGGGTGGAGGTAATTTAGCTAGTTAGCCAGAGAGTTTAAATAGAAAATGCTACTATTTCTTTTCAATTTCCCCTTTTTTGTGTTGCTCCTATCTGAGTGTTAAACCATGCACCCTGCTCTTAGCTCTAAGATGACTGTTCTAAATATCACATGTAAATAGTTCAAAACAATGGAAGCTGAGAGTGGCCGTGCTTACAGCGTTTTGAAAATCTGCTCTGAAAGTTGCATATTAAGCCTTTTAAGAAAACTGTATTTTAAAAACGATCGTAAACCAGGCTTATCTTGGCTGCCATACAATCTTATCATGGAACAAAAACACACCAATGTTAGTCGCTTTCCATCCGTCATTTTCCCTTTGATTCAAGTGTGACCACACGTGAATGAAGTTGCAATTGAACAAAAGAAAAAGCTTAATAAAAGCAGTTTACATAATCAAGTGAAACCAAATATCACATAATGTAAGTGTATTGTAAATGTATCCGTTTCCTTGACGGCTGTTTTACTTGTTATTTAATTTTACTTTTATGTAAATATGCATTCTGTAAATTCCCATCTGTAATTTTTGTAAATATCATACTAAACTATTTTTACCTTATATGTTCGTATACTGTAAACTTTAATTATAACAGCTGCTATTTTGTTTTCTAGTACGTTGTTTCATATCTATGACCTTTTCTGAATTCAGCAGCCTTTGTATCATTCCTATTTTAATAAACAACTTGAAGTGACATTTAGCTTGATCCCGTGCCTCTGCTCCTTTCTTCTGGCTTTTCTTCCACACACTTAGAATCTGTTTACTCTTTTTTTTGGCAGTTTACGCCTCATATCAGTCAGAGCAGCGGATTCTAACGTGTGATAAATAGTGCTAAGTGGCTAAAAGAACAAGAGTCATCCATCCAGCCACTGAGGGAGAGAAATAATAACATGTCTTAGGAAACATTTGCTGACAAATGTGGACACTCTAAGCTTCAGTCAGATCCTATTGAGCTTTTCAGCGGCTCCAAAAGTTTGGGTTGCTCAATATGAGATTAGATATGCTTAATGCTCCAAATGTATGATTGATTTTTCTGTCAAAATATTATAAGGGAAAAAAGAGAGAGAGTTTCTGGAAACCAGTAGCTAAATACAATTAGTACTATACTCATAAAGACTACTTTCAGCAAAATGAGGTCACAAGGTATGAGAAGTACTTCTGAAGAACATTTTGTGAAACAGGTTAAAGTAGAATTCTACTTTTGTAACGGAACAAGTTTCAGCTTTTTTTTGGGGGGGGGGGGTATTTTTGCCTTTATTGGACAGCTGAAGAAAGACAGAAAGGAGGAGAGAGTAGGAGATAAGATGCAGCAAAGGGCCGAGGTCAGACTCGAACCCACAGCCGCTGCAACGAGGACTATAGCCTCCAAACGCGCGCCACAACCGCCAGGCCCACAGCGCTCAATTTATTGTATTTTTTTTATATAGTCTGTAGATTTTTTACTCAGGGTCTAAAGTCTTATCGAAGCATGGCTGAACTTTCTATCCTTGCTTCCTTTCTATCCAGCTCCTGAGTAACTATGTCATTCTCTTTAATGATAAAAAAATGACGTATGAAATCCTTGTATCCATTTGTGTATTTTTTTTGTTCTGTGTGATCGTTCCTGAGGGTCAGGCCCCTCTGACGATACATTCTGTGAGACCCAGGATGATTAATGTGCTCAAAAGAGCTCTGCTACACATATCTGTGTTCATTTTTTTTTATCTGCAATCCCTTTATTCCAAATCTTTGCCTGTGCAGGAAATAGATCATTCCACATTTTAGTTGTGAAACCTTGGGGAGGCTAATGAGGGGCCCCTAAGACATTTCTCACAGGGTCACCATGTAACGAGGAGGTGAGGAGGTGTATGTTATTTTAAAGCTGGTTTTTAGAATGTAAAATGTTAATTTGTAAAGAAACAGCTGTCAAACATGTGTAAAAATGACTATATTTACCTTTAAAATGTGTAGGACTAGAAGTAAAGAGTAGTTAAAAATGGGAATAACAGAGTACAAGCACCTGAAAAATTGTATTTTACATGACTTTCCTCTCAAGCTGTTAGCCCCTGTGACTTAATATCGGTTACACTAAAACTGGCCCCAACTTAAAAGGCATTATGTTCCCTTTTCAAGAGCTGAACCAAAGCTATATAAAAAGTTTACACATGATTTATAGTTGCAGCAGAAAGCACAACACAAACGTTTATTCTGTCATGTGGAGATGTCATTTACCTATTTGGCTTTGCAGCATGAAATTCCGTCTGGTCATTTTTTGCCAGTAGGCTGATTCCACGGCTGCTGGCCGAGCTGTTTGCCTTCTGATCCCGACGCCGTCGCCCCCGGTGACCAATTATCGACAAACTCCCGAGCCTTACCGTCTCCTCACTGCAGTAAAGGGACATGGAGGAACTCAATGCCTCTGCCCTGTCGCACTCATAAAAACTGATACCAAGCAGAGCAGATATCAGGTCATGTTTAGACTTTTTGAAGCTATACTTTTATAGATTTTCCCACCGGCCTACCCGTGGAAAGAAATGTTGGAAGAGCGCCCTCAACTACTCTTGCTCTTAGACAAACAGCAATCCTGAGACTATAAAAGAGATAACATCCATATTACCCAGTGGTAACCTTAAATGATCTGTGGAGCTATGATTTATGTCACTATCATACTTTATCACTGACCAGGTACATGGAGAATCCAGAGGAATTTAGGAACACATATCTTTTCCACTCTCTATTAACACCCCTTAAAATCGACACTATTTCAAGCAGAACCTGTATTTATCACACATTGGCTTACTTTACTATCATTCCTGGAAACCCATATCCATAGAACTGATCTAAACCTCTAAAAAAAGTTGTAAACCATGATCACTGTTCAGATTTATATCGCACTTTTTGTCTTGTAAAGATGCACAAACGTTGTCTTCCTTTCGGGTCAGTTTTGTTGCTAGATTTGAGATTCATCAAAAGAGCACTTGAATATATATTTATATCTGTGGTCTTGATTTGTGTTACTCCTTTTTAATTGTTACTCATGGTAGGGGTTTGGGGGAAAGTGATGAGTAAAACTGCACTGCATTTTAGAAAAAAAAAAGATAATGAGCATATGAGAGGAAATTGCAACTCCTGATCTCTGTCGCCCTCTGCTGGTCAAAAAGTGTCACTCCAGTCAGGAGATTGAGTTGCATTCAAAATACAGCCTTTGCTTGTGCTCCAATAAGAAATGCAATTCAATCCTGTACATAAAACTTTTTTTTTTTTAAAGGGACAGCAAACATAAATTAACAAAAGACATGTTAACATAGCTGAGTTTGCAAGAATGCTACTTTATGTCTTGGACTCTTTGAAGGCAATGTGACGTAAACATTACAGGTGACAATATCCAGATAAAAAATCTACAATATTTCTTGTTTTTCTGTTTACTAATGATAGAAATAGGGTGATCATTTACTCCAGATAGGTACGTGGATTAAGGGTCCAGGGCGGCTGGTTGAACTGGTTCCATGTGAAAGAAGCTCCCTTCTGGTTCCAGCACTGCATCACAGGATGTTCTATTCTTATTGTCTCAGTGGGTAAAGGCAGGGATGTCCTTGAAGCTGTGTGATGGTGAACCAATGGGAAATTGTATCTATCACTGTGGAGGTACAATGGAGTCTTTTCTGGCCTTGGGGGGACCATCATGTTGTTCGACTGGTGGAGGGACGCAGGTGGGACTGAAACTAGATGTTCACACTGTCCTATATCTGTACAAGAGATAGAAAGGAGTTGAAGGAAATGTGCAGTCAAGAGTCAAATAAGGACTCCTAAGTGTAGGAACAACATGTTGAAGCAACTCTCCTGTGAGCACAACATCAATCACACTTGTCTAGCTGATCACAACTATTTAATCATCATCCAAAACCAAAGAATCTCAAAATGTGTCATTCACATGCATGCCTTCCAAGCAGCCGCAGGCGTTTACATTTAATATATATTTTTTACAACATTCAAAACATCTGCACTAGCAATTACAATGTTAGATCAACGTCAATGTAACACTTTTATATTGTTCACAAATGCAAAAATAGTCATGAAATAATAAGTTATTGGCTGAAATGAAAGAGAGGCTGACGGGGTAGTTCAATCATCTAAGAAATCCCATATAGTAATAACAGGAATTGTGTTTCATGGAAAGACATATGGAAAGTAATTACTGACCACATCAATGAAAGGCTTTTTTTTCTTGTTGTGTAGGAACGCAGATGCCAAAAAATGTTGTAACTCTAGATCATGTTGAAAAGTTTTAAACAGAATCGCCTACTTTGACTTCTTTAACTAAATGAAAGTAAAGCCAGAAACTATATAGCTTAACTCATATTTACACCTATAACAAGCAGGGAAAAGACAATAGTTAAGCATTTAAGAATTTCGGAAAATCAAACACTACAAAGACAATGAAATGCACTGTTTTTCCAAAAGAGATTTTTGCATAGTCTTACCTGTGTGTGTCTTAAAGGAGAAACTATTCATGCGCCTCCCGGCAGCTGTGTTGTATGAAGAGGAGGCCGCTGAGTTTTCACCGTAGAGTCTCGACACTCCTGTTGCCTTGAAATGATCATTAAAAATCAAACACCATTAAGTATTTTTCTTTTCCTTCTATCGGTAGTGTCAGACTAGGAAATCTACAGCACGCAGTCAAAACGGTTGTCTGTCTGTTGTAAGAAAGAAGGAAGAGATTTTTTTGTCAGAAAAACGACAAAGAGATGTGATGTACAACTTTGTCCACAAGGGGGCACCAAAATCAACATAAACCATAAGTTCCTCATAGGAGCTTTACATACTTGTTTATTACTTATAACATGTCAAAGACCTCCAAAGAAGTTTGCTTACAGTATTATCCCGTGACACGAAATGTGCATGGCAGATCAAACTAAAAAATGAGTCCAAAAAGCATCCGTAGGTGTCATATACTTAGAGTTTTATGGTAGAAAAACGTGCTTGATCTGTCTCCCAAAGATGAGGCGAGGTGAGGCCAATCAGTGCTCCAGCTTTTGTCAGATTTTATTCAAACTGTTGGCTTATTCTGATTAGTATAGGAAATATATACCAGTCTTTAACTAGACAGAAGAGGAAGGGGGGGAGACATGGAGAAATCTCTCATGCTGAACAAGCAAAGTAGTTTTAAAGGAAGAATGTGCAACATTTTACCCATAAATACAACAGAAATTAAGTATGTCCTCTGTACAATGAGTGAGACGGTGAGTTCCCCCAGCTGTACTGTTGTTGGAGTTGTGTTTACATGGGCGGGGTGGCCTTGCGTATAAAGCTGTCTTAGTCAGGTACTAGAGAAAAGGAGAATAACATAGCCTAGAGGGGTACGAGGTGTGTCGCTGGAGCAGAGCGGGGGGGCTTCAGAACAGCCGAGGTGTCGCCAAACATTTGTTTTGCTTTTGTGCTGCAGCTAAAGGGCGACATCTACTGGCTCAAAAAGTCGCAGACTCTTCCTTTAAAATTTGGGTGAAAATAGTTTGGCTCTTACATGAACTCATTGAGCCAAGCGAGTAGCCTATAAGAAAGTAATCAAGGTTCTCTCACAAAGAGTTCATTCAAACTGTACCTGTTGAGATGTGACGCTGTGTTGCGTTGATGGAGTCACAGGAGCAAAAACTTTTTGTTTCTGAAGATCTGAAGCTGTTGTGGAGAAATACACTTGATCAGGTAATTGTTAGACGTGAATGCAAATGTGCTGAAAGGCTTCCCATTGCTATTCAGGTGGTTTTTTGTTATTATTTCTATAGGCCTTGACTTTAACATTAAAATGGACACACTTACTCTGCGTGCTGCTCCTGTGTTTGGCCTCCCTCCTCCATTTAGCCCGTCTGTTTGAAAACCAGACCTTCAAGAGACACAAAGGCATCTTGTTAGCAGAACAACTTTTTTCTTCTTAGTCTTTTTGGACATTTTGTTTTTAATGGTTTAACTCGATGATTCTACCTTGATGGTGTCCTCAGGAACTCTGATCTCAACTGATAGTTTCTCTCTCATGTACAGATCTGCATACTGGCTGTGAGAGAATTCTGATTTGGAGGAGAGAAACAAGAGTTTTAAGTCTATGCATAAACAGCATGGCAGCATTGTGTTGCTTTGAGACTTGTATGAGCATATAAAGATTTGAAGTAACCTTGCTCGAGTGCAGTACTCTGCTCAGGGGTAAAGGTGGTGCGGTTGCGATGGTGGACAGATTTAGGGTTTTGGTCATTGCTGCAAATTGTCTGAAACATCTGTATCTCATTCAGTTCTTCCTGGATGAAAGAATCAAAATCTGCAGATACGCACATGATGAACACATCACATGGTAAGTCCAAGGAAATGAAGGGGGATAGACCCAACTAAACTCACCTCTGTTTTTGTTTACTTATCCAAATAAACAATATATTTATTTCTACAATTCTAGCATTCATTTTAAAAATCACGTATAGAAAATCAGAATTAGAAATGTATTCATGAAAAAAAAAACGGATTCATTTATGTTTTTTTGGATTATGCATTTGTCCTTGCACACTTGTGACTGTGTTTCTTATAATGGTCATCATTGTAAGGTTACAGATCGTCCATTCTTTCACATATTACAGGTGACTCACCCTGCCCAGTCCTGTTCTGCGCGTTGCTCTCCATGCACATCGGTCCGTGATCCAAGTGGATCTTTCTCAAAATCCGATTAATAGACGACACCTGGGAGAACAGGGTGTGCAAAATGCCTCATTAAATACTGGAAAATGTTTCGCTTCAGACGAGCGAAATTGAAAGTCTCACTCACGCTGGGGACTTTGGAGGCCTTGCATATCCGGGCTTCTGCGAGACGTTTTCGGATCTCCCAAGCGAAAATAGTTGGATTTTCCCTTTTGCACTGGATGATTGTGGAGATGACACCCGGGGTGAGAAGCCGAGGCCTGCTCCCACCGATGGTCTTTGGCTCCAGGAGACCCGTGCGTCTGTACCGGCTCAGGATCTTACTGACGCAGCCATTAGACACCTGTAATACGCAAGATGTTCTACTTTTTAAACTTACTGAGATGTTTTTGTGAATCAAAAGTAACCTGTCTACGAGAAAAACAAACCTTTTAGGCAACTTTTGAAAAAGAAATCTGAGCAAATTGGTTTGATACTTTGCCTAAAAAGTTGTATTTTTGCGTACTCGCAGTATCCTGGAGATCTGACTCGGACGGACTCCCTCTGAGGCCAGTTCAATCATCTTCCTCCTCTTGGATTCTGGGAGAGGTCTGCCGTTGAGAAACATCCCTCCAAGCTGGTTTACAGTTCCACAACCTTTTCGAAACATCGTTTACGCTATTGTAAGATGTACATTCAAAATACGTTTAAATTGCGTATCCAAACATACAACATGTAACATAGTTCCCCTGACGGTGCGTAAAAGATGGTTTAACTACGTTTAAAGATCTAATACAAATGTAAAAGTGCAGTGTAATAAAGTTATACATTTACCTTGATTTGGCAGATCAACGTTTGCTCCACACATAGCTTATTGCTCCAAGTCTTGATGATGAAAAAAACCCCGAAAATGATGTATCTTGAAAATGCACCTTGTGGTTTTAAAATTGTCCAGGTAACTGCGTATCCGTGGGGAGTGACAATGAAGGGAATCACGCCCCTCAGCACAAATTTATAGATCTGCAGACCTCAACATGACGAGGTGGAGTGTTACCTGTAATGTCAATACTGCTTGGTTCAGAAAAAAAAAAACGCATGGGGGAGTTGCAGATTTAAAATAGGCTTCAGATGGACGGTCAATTCTAAAGAACACGTTAATCTTGTATTGTGATTCGATTTTCCAAAGAGTTGTTTGCAATTAATAAATAAAACATGATAAAGATTATATCAAATGACTCTCTCCAGGAGGTAACTGTAACTTTTATTTATTGGGATATGGATAAATATGACTAGTAATTATTAATCATGCATGCGTAATTCGTATTTAAGTCTATTAGAAGCAGTCTAGACTTTATAAAACACATAACACAATACACGTACTGCCTGAGTTGCACATGCTCGTCATAATCTTTGTAACGTCTTGTTGTAAATATGTATAAAAAAATATATTTAGACGTTGCTTTGCTGCACCAGAAAGCTGAAATGAAGGCATCGAAAAACATTTCTTGAGTATATACCACATGTTCTCTGTGACACAACAAATATTTCCACCTCTAAATTTTCAAAAGTAGTGTTCTCGTTCCAAAAAAATATGCTGTAATCAGCCAGTGCACGTACTCAAGTTGGAGTGTCATACAAGGTTCCCTTTTACGCATTGGCTGCTTTCAGTCTCATTCAGACCCCTCTTATTTCAGTGCAACACAATTTACTCCTTAATCTTTCAGCTTTGATCCTTAAAAAATAAAAGGTACAACTTCCACCTTTCAGAGAAACTAAAATGATCAACACTGGTATGCTTTCAAACCGTGAGGGGAGACTTGTATCACGTGACTGGAGCATCCTTTCCTAGGTTAAGTGGCTCAGATTAAAAGGCTCTCTGGCCTCCTTTCATAAAACAAACATTTGGAAATCTGCGCCAATGACGACTGCCATATGGTAAAGTGCTTTTGATCAATCATAAATCCATCACCTAGTCTCTCTTTATTACATTTTCTTTCAAAACGTGAACAAATAGACTCGTGCATGGGCGCAAGGAAAGAGCCAATTGGGGGACCTCGTTTATCCAGAAGAGGGAGGCTAAAATAACCCTCACAGATGTTCTTTGGGCAGCCAGCAGATAAAAATGCGCTGTAAACGTTTCAAAGGGAAATATTTGACGAGCAAATATTAGCCTATGTGAAAATCCACACAAGGCTCGTCTTTTCACCTGTTTAATGACTAATTGAATATCATTAGTTGGATCCACAAAGATCGAAGTGGCACCGAAATAAAGGCTGAGATTTTAAAATGCCATATGGCCCAAATTATATATTAACCACGAGTTAGTGGACGATAATCCTCTCTGTGTACAATCAGCCAGGGTGCATAGAGGATAGCCATTTTTGGACACCATTATCTCCTTGCCAACCGAGACACAGGACAAATAAGGCAAGCTTTTTTTTTATTTATTACGGGGGAGCTGATGTGGTCGTTTATTTATGGTACTTTATTACACGTACAGTGTGTGCCAGACGAGGTTAATCAAGGTACTTAGGTTGTTGTGTTAAGATAGTATCACATATTCGCTGTGCGTAAATGTTGATCTGAGCTCGCCAAAGGACGGAGCTGGAGTATAAGTTGGAAAATGGGGCCAAAAAATAAGTACAGAGCTTACTAAAACGTTCCATGAGTTTGTCCTGCGCTTAAAACACATTTATTTGCGCATTATTATGTGTCTAAGTGTTGAGAAATGTGGGGACTTCATCCGCGTAAAAAGGTTTCCAAACCTCTCCAAAACGCATCGAGGTGCATTGTGCGCAACGGAGGTGTCTCCATGGAAACAATCTGGCCCATTTCTACACTATGTTATGAGTTTTTTAATCGTCCTTTTTTTGTATTTTTCTTATACTGAATTAACTTGTCTGTGCTTTTGTGTGTTTTCATTTTTTAAGCAGACGTTGTTTCGGTCCTTTAACTTCTTAACTTGTTTATTTTCAGGTCCGTAACCTGATGCGCAAATTACAGCAGCAGGATAGATAAATGAATCAATGATCTGCCCTTCAATATGACCGTGTCTTATTCTTTATTGACGGACCGACATATAAAGCTGTAATTTTGGTTATTGGACAATATTCTTTCACTTGGTTAAATAAGACTCGAAGACTCAAACTGGAAGTCATTTAACATTGTATGCATCCTAAAGAACCTGTGTATACAAAACCAAATATTCCACATGTCCAAATCTTCCACCGTCGTGTTTATGCAATTACGCCATGTATGAAAATAAGTTCATCTTTTATACACCTTCCCTTTCTTTATTTAAAAAAAATATCTATCCTATATATTCTGATAACCCCTATGCACGTGGTCAAGAAGACTCCTCTTGATTCTGATTCAAACCTACCTTGAATGCGTTTTGTAAAAATATGACTGACATCTATGGATTTAAACTGAAACTCAAAACACAGAAAACAATGCTAAACAATGTCAAATATTATGTTAAACAATTTTTTTATTTCATCTTATCTTATTTTTTTACACTTGTGATTCCTCCCATCTGAAATACATGAGTGGCTAAAAACAGTAAAAGAAATAGCTAATGTTGTTTTTCAAATGATAGCTAGAAATAACTAATAATTTATCAGCTGGAAAATGACAAATAACAATGGAAGATGTTTTGTTATAGATCTGGAACTGAATTTTGCAGGCTCAGTGCAGTCATATTAATATTTTAAAGTCAGATCAAACATAATGGAAAGCAATATATGAGCAAAATCCCAAATACTATCTTACAAATGTGTCAGAGTTGACATTTATGATGACGTGATACTTAGGGCGAAGTTTCCACATTTACTTTTATTTTTGTATATATGTTTAACTTGATTTGTTGTATACACACAGATACATGGATAGAAGTGATGTAGTGGTCACATATGGTTATTTGTTCAATAAAACTTATATTTACAGGAAAGATCTAAAGGTAATGACACTTGCACTATCATTAAAAATAACTTCTTTTAAAGCTCCTGTGAGAACTTTCCATTTGTGTTACATTTGGTGACCCCCTGTGGATGAAGTGATATGTCTTATCTCTTTAAAGTTAAAGATAAAGATAAACTTTATTGATCCCCCATGGGGGACATTTTTTTGTCACAACAGCACAAGACATAAGAATATAATTATCAAAAATAACAAGATGTTAAAAATCAAACATATGTACATCAGTTAAATAAAGGGAGAAAAAATACAATAATAGAATAATACAAGGTAGTCTATGTACACTTCCACTTGTGGAAGGAGTTATTGGCTGATCATATTTGCTGATCATGTCTTGTGTAAGAAGTGTTATAACAAGAAAACTCATCCTACTGTCACTCACCCATCTTTGCACCCTGTACTCTAAAGTAGGCTGGCTCCCTGTCAGCTCGTAGGCTTCTTCACTGGTACACCTTCATTTATAAAGCAATTACTGGACTACTCCCTTCATACCTCTGCACCTACCTCACTTTTAAATCAAATCCATCATACAGTTTGCGCTCTCTGGACTTTCTATCTATGAAAGTCCCCAGAACTCGTACTGAGTTTGAAGAGGGCCTTCATGTACTCTGCTCCCTCTGCATGGAACAGTCTTCAAAAAACACTCAAATTGCAGGAACTCATCACTATTAATGATTTTAAAACTCGGCTCACAAGTTTTTTAAAGCTAATTTTGGAGTGTGTAACTGTTTCACTGCATAGTATTTTATCATCATCACATAATTGTTCTTTTAGTGTGTATTGTGGTGTTTTGTTTTTGTTTAACATGATCTTGTCCTCCTCCTCCTCCTCCTCCTTCTTCACCTTCTGGACTGTATTTGTCTCTTTTTCTCATGTCTGTGCTTTCTTTTTAGATTTGTCTTATATTTCTTTTTTTACTGCTGCCATATTGGCCAGACCTTGCTCAAAAAAGAGGTCATTTGATCTCAAGCAATTCTTGCCTGGTAAAATAAAGGTAAAATAAAAAAAATAAAAAAAATTGCAGTCAAACATATCACTCATTGAAAATGAAAAATGTATCAAAAAAGGGTTGTGTGTGCAGCAAACCAACACATTTTCGGATTCTTGGTATAAACATAAATGTGTAATATTTGTAATATATGTGTAATAAAAGAGTGGAAAGTTGTAATACAGTTCATTACAAATAGGCTACTAAAAATAAGATGTTAATTAAAATGTACAGAATTCAAATATCCTTGAATTTTTTTTTCTGTGAAATAAGGTTTTTATTTCACAGCTGGGGAATTTTTTACTTTTTTAAATTTGTCATTTTGTTGTGACGTTTCTGTGGTTCCTGAACGAAAATGAAACTTTCCGACCCCCCTTGAGTGCAGCATAAAAGGGTAGTGTGTGTGCAAGCAAACAGCAAACCAACACATTTTCTGATTCTTGGTATAAACATATTGAGTAATAAATGTGTGTGTTCATTAAGAGTGGAAAGTTGTCAATACAGTTCATTACAAATAGGCTACTAAAAAAAAAAAAAATAATAATAATAATAATTAAAATTTACAGAATTACAACAAATATCCTTGAATTATTAGTAATTTTTTTCTGTGAAATAAGGTTTTTATTTCACAGCTGGGGAATTTTTTACTTTTTTTAAATTTGTCATTTTGTTGTGACGTTTCTGTGGTTCCTGAACGAAAATGAAACTTTCCGACCCCCCTTGAACGCAGCATTAGCTGGGTTAACTCTATGCTGACGTGTCGCAGCTCTTGCTCCGGAAGGTTTTATTTCAACTCGTCTAGGCGGGTCCAGACGCTGCTCCATTCGCTCCCATTCATTCTTGCTCCCACAGCCCCGGAACGGTTTTGACGTGTGTGTGTGTATGCATGGCACAGTGTGTTTCCGGTATAACGTGTGTGTTGATCGGTGTTCAGCCTTTTTCTCTTGGCTCTCAGTAGAACAGTCACTTCAGGGTCCCTGCTCCCTCACCTGGTTACGGCGTTTATCTCTCACCGGTGGACATGGCATCAGTTTCAGCACCCGCACAGTCAGCCACCGCTCCGGCTGCTC